GCAGGTGATTCTAATACATTGCCAGTGTGGAAAACTTAATCTAGGCTAACACTTCATCGCAGGTGATTCTAATACATTGCCAGTGTGGACTGCTGTGGTCTCATAGCTGTGTTAAGTGTCTATCTAGATTGTTTATTTCTTTTGTTACATTAGCCTTTGACAAAGCAAAATTATTGCTATTTGGCCTATATTATCTCAGTTTTTGCAAAAATGATGCCCTTAAATTGTAGTTTATTTTTATGCTTTCTGTTTTTATACAGAGGCCTAATTGGGAAACTGCCTTGGGAATTTGTTTTGATATCTCTGGCAAAATAGTAGTTAATATTGTTAAATGTGTCACAGAATGTCTTTCACCCATAGATTGACATAAATTTCTGCTGAATTTAGCTACAAGGAAAATTATTTATAGAAAAAATTATGTATGCTCCTTGTTTGTAAGTAAATGCTAACTACGTAACTGCATGTTTCTCTTTAGCTTAGTAAAACACTTTAGTCAAATTTATATCTGAAGGTGGAAATATACTCATCTCTAATTTCTTTAAGTACTTTTATTATTACATGAACTCAAGTTAAATATTATGTGTTGTGTTTAAATGTATTGATTAGATGTTTTAAGCCCTTTTGGGAAGTAGGAAGAATAATACACTAATCCATGTGGTTGCCCATTGTTTTTTGAAAATGACATACTTGGCCGGGTGCCGTGGCTTATGCCTGTAATCCCAGCACTTTGGGAGGCCAAGGTGGGAGGATCACTTGAGCCCAGGGGTTTGAGACCAGCCTGGGCAACATAGTGAGACCCCGTCTCTAAAAAAGAAGAACTTGTTAAAATAAGTAAAAATATTTAAAATGAAAATGGCATACTCCATTGAAGTTGGATGAAAGGCCATTGTGCTATCTGTAGTTCACAATAAACATATAATGGGTCTTACTAAGTATCTGTAGTCATTTCAGAGTTGCTCTTGTCTCCAGTTATGCCTTCTAGGTCATCATAGGCCCGATACCTTTGCCCACAAGCGGGCAATTTCATTCTTCATATGATATCCAGATAGTAGTTTCCTAACCAGCTATAGTTATGTCATCCTGCATCTTTAAAAAAAAAAAAAGTAATTGTCAGCTGGGCGTGGTGGCACATACCTGTAATCCTAGCTACTTTGGAGGCTGAGGTACCAGAATTGCTTGAACCTGGAGGCCGAGGTTGCAGTGGGCCAAGAATGCGCCACTGCACTCCAGAGTGGGCAACAGAGTGAGACTCCATCTCAAAAGAAAAAAAATAAAAAATAAACAAAAAACAGTAGTTGTCTTTGGTGAGTCCTGCTTAATATTGCCATACTTCAGTAAACTGTTCAGCAACTCTTGTATATCTTGCTGTTGGCCATTCTTCATGTATGTCTAGCCTCACAGAGAGCGGGGGTTGTGGAAAAATTCACTTTAGCATCCTGATAATCTAGTTATGTTCTGTAATTTTATTCTTGTTGGGTGTGGTCTGATTCTTATATAAGTATGACTTTATAGGTAAAATATATAGGTAAAATAATGTACTATATAGGTAAAATAATACTGTAGGTCAGATGTGATAGTAAGAGTAGTCCTGAGTCTCAGAACTGTAACGAGTTACACAGCAGAATTTGACATTATATTGGTAATAATCTGCCATCTTAGTCTGGTTTTCCATTTTTCAGTTTATACACTAGTATAAAATGCACTGCTTTAGTGGGTTTCTTTGATTAGTTTGTATTATGCATAATCAAATGGTAAGCTATCCAGTGCCAAATAGGTGCTCAGTGAACATCTAAATGAAAGAATGTTGACAGAATGTTCACCACTGGTCTTGTTTGTTGTTCCCATTCAAAGGATTAAAAAGGATTCCTTCTGTTGAATTTGGCCTGAACACTTGCAATTTCAGGTCTAAGTTGTAGTTATTTTTATGGGAGACTCTGGACATCTTGAGCTGATTTTACTGGCTGTATTATCTGTTCTGTGCCCAGTCCCATACATAATGAGGTTATTATGTCCTCTTCAACTACCTATTTATCCATCTGCTACTCTTGTTTACTTTTGCCCCTTTTGCTCTAACTTGTGTTGTTAGTCGTTTTATTTAATATGTATTCTTGTCATCCTTCATATACCCTCAGGCTTTAGTTATTCTGGGTACCATACTTGTTTATCCCAGATTATTTTGGTTTTATCAATTTCTAGTGTATAATTTCATTAGCATTGATGAGCATCTTATATTTACATTTAAATTCCATTAAAAAAATCAAAGGGGAGGTACACATACTCAAAGTAGTTCTCAACTGATTGCATTTCTAAATTGCATGCCTGCCTTAAAATTATCATCATTTGAAAACAGCAATTCCTGGATTTTTGTTTCCATGGATTTTGATTATACTTACAGCCTGAAGAAGTAGAAGAGTTTCCTAGATTTCTAAAACATATTTTGTTGCAAGCTCTCATCTTTAGGTTTAGCCTCAAGGTCACTTAAGAGTGATGTGTTGGAGGCCAGGTGCAGTAGCTAATGCCTGTAATCCTAGCAGTTTGGGAGGCTGAGCAGTTTGGGATGGCTTGAGCCCAGGAATTCCAGACCAGCCTGGGTCACATGGCAGAAAACTGTCTCTGCAAAAAAATAAAAAGTTAGCTGGGCATGGTAGTGCATGCCTGTAGTCCCAGATACTTGGGAGGCTGGTGTGAGAGGATCACCTGCGCCTGGGAATGTTGAGGCTGCAGTGGGTTGTGATGGTGCCACTGTATTCTGACCTGGGCAAGACAGTGAGACCCTGTCTCAAGAAAAAAAGGGATGGTAGGAAAGATGCTTTTATGTTGTTTTTCTAGTAGTGGTGATGGATTTGTGTACAATCACACATTTTTACCCATTCCCTTTGTCACTCTTGGCATGTCTTCTGAGACAGCTGGCAAGATTAGAGGTAGAAATGATAGCTGTAAAACAGAATAAAGCTACCAGATTGAACCTACAACCTTGGCATTATTAGTAGCACCTTGCATCAAACATTGAGCATATCAGACTAAAAATTACTTATTTTGGATTTCATTAATTAAAAGCCCTCAAAGAACTAAGTTCTCTTAGATAAGAACCAATATGGGCCTGAAATATGTAATTATGTAGCTTTTCAGAAAGGACATATTTAAAGAATGCAAGTTGATAGTGAACCTGAGGCTGGGTCCTGTATATATCTGTATTTTTCCTTTTTTGCTGTTATCAATAATTTCCTATTAGTGTAGATCAGTAGTTCCCAAAGTTTGATCTCCAGGCCAGTAGCATCAGTATCTCTTTGGGATTTGTTAAAAATGCAAATTCTTGGGCCCTACCTTGGACCTAACTGAATTAAAATTTTAGGGGTGGAGCCCAGCTGTTGGTGTTTTAGCCAGCTTTCCAGGTGATCCTGATGGGCGCTACAGTTTGAGAACCACTGCCTTGGATCTTTTGCCAATTGGTGCCTTTTGTAATGCAATCAACGTTATTTAAAACTAAGTTAGGGTCTATGGTAGAGGTACTGTGAAACTATTACTTGAAAGCATTTTTGTAATAAATGTTGACTAAAGTAGTAAAAGGTAAAAGTCATCTCTGGTCGATTTATTAGATTTGATTTCTAGTAAACTTCCTAAGGCATTTTTCTTTCTCAGTCATGAGTACCACGAAACAAGAATATGTGTTTTAGGCTTTTTCTTAAAAATAGATTCTTAGTGAGAAAGATTAGTGGAAACAAGCATTTAAAAAAGGTACAGTTGACCCTCAAACCACATGGGTGTGAACCGTTCAGATCCACTTTTATGTGGATTTTCTCCTGCCTCTGCCACTCCTGACACAGCAAGACCAACCCTTCCTCTTCCTCCTCAGCATGTGCAATGTGATGAGGATAACAAACTGTATGATGACTCACTTCCACTTAATGGGTAGTAAATATGTTTTATTTTTCTTGTGATTGTCTTAATAACATTTTTTTTTTCATTGTTAGAGTTCGGTTTATTGGCGTGCAGCCTGAAATATGTTTTGATGGTCTGTTTATGTTATCGGTAAAGCTTCCAGTCAACAGTAGTCTATTGGTAGTTAAGTCTAGGGAGTAGTTTGGGGAGTCAGAATTATATGCGGATTTTCAACTGCATTGAAGGTCAGCACCCCAACTCCTATGTTGTTCAAGGGTCAACTGTATTATGAAGAAATAATTCCAGGAGGCCATCACTTGAACCCATAAAGTTTGGATTATGCCCAAGGGAAGGAGACACCCTGGATACAGATGACCAGAAAGCAGTAAGTTTATTTTGGAAAGCTTCCAAGTTAATGCTATTGTATTCAAAATCACCAGAGGCAAAGATTGCATGTGATTCAGGATTTGAGTAATGGAAATTCTCCAGATTTTAGTGTGGAATATTTTTCCTTTGTAAGGAGAATGGTTTTGCATATGTAAAGTACTTGCTACCTTTGTGTCTACTGTATGATTTAGTTAAATTGGTAGATAATAATTAAACACTATTAGAGGTGATAGTCAAGGATAGGCAGTGATTTTAAAAACCGCTTTCCACAGGAAGTCAAGTTAAAAACGGAACTGTTTAAAAAGATAAGGTTGGTACTAGATTATAAAAATAAAAAGGACTAGGAAAGATGCCTTCTTGAAAATAATAACTTCAGTTCCCTTTCCTGTAGCTTTATTACGCAAAACTAGTTATGCCTGTCCCTCCTAATATGTTTCTATATAGGTACCAATGTTGTCTTTAATATAAACTGTTAATAAGCAAGCTTCATAATTCTTCCCTTCCCCAAGTACATAGGACCTGTGGCCTTAATCACTGGTGAATATTCATTCTTTCAAAGATTCTTACTTTGTATGAATAACTCTTGGTCTCTTTAAATATTTTTAGTCTAGAGTAAGTAAGAGCAGATGCTGTGTATTAAATATATTAAAAATTAGCTGTAAAATATATTTTAATTAAAAATTTAAACACATTTGGAAAATTCTTTTTTCTTTTTTTTAAGTTATGCTTTAGGCTTAGCAGCGCATAACAGAACATCCACACTGACAGTAGCTTAATATAAGAGATGTTAAATTTTTTGTTTCCACATGAAAGCCTGGAGATAGTCAATACAGATCTAATATGGTGGATCTGAAGTATCAAGGACCCAGATTGTCTTACATTCCAGGGTTACCTCATGAACCAAAATTATTGTTGGAACTCTAGCTATTATATCTTCAGGAGGAAGGGAAGAAGAAGACCATACTCTCTCTCTTTAAAGGATACTTTTTTTGGCAGTCACATGTCTTGTTTTTAACCTTACATCCAGTTGGTTAGAACATGGTCCCATGGCCATACATAGGTAAACGAGAGGCTAGGATAGGCAGTCTCTTCTGTGAGGCCTTTGTGCTGAGCTAAATTTGGAGGTTCTGTCACTGAGGAATAGGAGAGAATGGGTATTGGAGTCATAGCAGCTTTTCCCCTTGTGTACAAATGAATCATTTAAAAGAAAGAAAGACATTTTCCACCTAAATTCTGCAATATTTCACTTATGCCAGAGACACCCTTAGAGTTGCAAATGCAGTTACCAAAATAGGAAACACACTGAAAGAGAGGAGGTAATATATTGTTGCAGACCAAAGAAGAGAACTGTGGCTTGGAGCACTCTGAACTCTTGAGTTTAGGTTTCTGTTTTTTTGTGTCTTGTCTTGGGTTAGATTTTTATAATCTTAGTCTGGAACCATAAAATGAAAGTGATGATGGCAAGATCATTAAGTGATGGGGAAATAGAAATCAAATGAAGAATGGGTTGATGTGCTGTTTTATATTTCACTTGAAGAGCTCAAGGAATTGCATGGTAAAGTAGTAGTGGTAATGACGTTGATAGTCTACTCTGCTTACTTCCAGTTTGACGTCCATTTCCAAGCCATGTATCCATGTATTTTATCCTATTCCTGAATGTTGCATCAGGTTCTACTTAGGTATTTTCTATCATTTTAGTTGTAAGGATGTGGTTTCCATAAGGGAAGTAAATCTGACCATTTTAGTTTATGAATGCTTTTGCCAATATTCAGTTTGTTTTCATATCCTTGACCTAAACATTTTATAAAAAATCCAGAGACATCTGTGTCTTATATATTCTTTTGTCACCTAACTTAAATATTAATATTTTAAGCATATAATTTCAAACCTAAGGAGTTTAATAATTTGGAAGTGAATAGAAGAGCATATGTATGTAAGTCTCCTCTGGATTGATAAAACATTTATTCATCAGGCTCCGAGGATTTAATAGGCATTAAGTCAGAAATATATCCATTTCTCTTCTTGGCAGAATTGCTTTTACTGATAGCAGCAAATGAGCAGTTGCTGAGGTAGGGAGGAGGCCATGTCTGGAGGTTATGCATTAGCAAAAGGGAAAATAACTGGCTGATGATGGGCTGGTGATTACAAGCCTTAATATTCTTGAGCTGAGCCAAGAAGCCCAGCAAAGCTCAACAATAAAATTGTGTATAATACAGATGTTCTCTGTTAACAATATTAGATAAAATTCTTCTATTATAAGCAAAGGCATTGCCTCAAAATAGAAATACCCAAGACAAGCCTTGCTTTCCTAGTGGTAGACAGTTATAGCAATAAATTAGTAGTATTAATATTAAACACAACAATAATAATATAAATAGCACAACATTTATTGCATGCTTACTATGCTGGGCATGGTGCTACATTTTTTCTATGCATTTTCTCATATAATTCTCATAACTGTATAAAGTAGAGAGTGTTAATGTTTCCATTTTACAGAGAAGAAAACAGAAGATTAGAGAGGGCACCTTGACATGTGAATTCAAGTCCATTTGACTTCAGGGTCTGTGCTCTAAAGAACACACATGCCTGAAGATCCAGTGCCCCAGGTGCAGACCAAAGCTTTGTAGTTAGAGGGCAGTCCCAGGGCAGGTTGATTGGGTGGTAGTGATGAGGACACAAGTTTCCTTGACCTGCTATTTTGCTGGAGAAGGATAAAGATACACTATACATTGACCAAGTGAGAGTGTTCATATTTGGAGGGAATTTTCTTTACCTTTGAATGTTTTTTTTTTCCTTCTGATAGAGAACAGAATGATTTTTTTTCTTTGCTTGATGATTAAGAGGATAGTATCATTTCATTCATTACCTGATGATTAAGAGGGTAGTATCGGTAGTATCATTTCATTCAAAATAACAGTTTTACATTTTGAAGACCATATAAAGTATGAAGCAGGTAATTGCCAAAGCCTCCTCCCCACCAATCCCTGCCCTGCAGGCTTTGCACAATGATTTAGAATTCTTCAGGGTTCCTTAAATTTCTGAATTCCCCTAAGTTCCTTTGTGTTTATTTACAGTTAATGTGTTAAGAGCCATTGACATTTGAAGATCATCAGAAGTGAAGATAAAACATCTCAAAAATTATAATGTAAGTGAATGGTAAAATGCAGATATAAAAATAGACAAAAGTTAATATTGCCAGCAATATTTCTGGATTATATATTGTCCGAAATGAAATTTGCACATGTGAGTAACCAGTAACTTCAAACTTTCCATTTCCAAGTCCCTGTCCTTAAAATTCTGTGTTCTCTTCTACTTGGGGAAAAGAGTCACTAAGTTTTAGTCATCCAGTAATTTTCCATTAGAATTCTTTTGGCATCCATGTTCTGTTTTCTTCCTTTTCTTCCTTAGCACTTTGCAGTTTGACTTGAGAAGCGGATGACAAGAATTCATGTTATATGCAAAATGTTACAGATACTAAGGTCTTTGCTTTCCAGCTATTGATGAGTGTTGTGTATGTTATTCAAGTGTAATTTTACTACTGTTTTGTATGTTTCTTAGCCAAAAATATGACCAGTTAGCTAGCCGCCTGCCTTCCTCCCCTTTCCCTCTTCTTTCTTTCTTTTTTTCCCTGCCTCTTTCCCTTCCTTTCTTTCTGTAAATAATTGTTTAACATCTACTGTACCCTACACACTGTGCTAGATTCTGAATTCCTAAAAGCTTGGTGCTGAAATGAATTATATCTTTTTATACTCTTAGAGGGATTAGAGATCATCCAATTAGTGTTTTTCAGCTGTGGCTGAGGACCACCTGTATATTTCAGTCAACTGTGAACTTGGTGAACATTTAACTTCCTAGGTTTCAGTGTGGACATTCTGAATCACTGAGGTGACGTTAGGAATCGGCATTTAACTGTTGGAGAACCACCGATCCAGATGCATTTGGATGCTAGTCTAGTTTCAAAAGTTTTCAGATGTGGAAATAGATCTAGAGAACTCTAATAATTTACTCCAAAGCACAATAAATGTTAAGAGGGCCAGGAAAGGTGGTGGTTTTCCTCTGAGGTTACAGAACTATTGAGTGTCAGAGATGATCTCCTAATTCCCAGTTCTAGACTTTACCATGTAGCATCATGATTTTTTTTGCAGGGCCGTATAGCTTCACTGTGTTTCATGTCTGTAGAACCCTCTGCTTATACCATGTATAAGATTATAACCAATCCATCACTGTTTCTGAAAAAATAAGAGGACATATGGGTTATGTAAATGAAAAACGTACTGTTTCTTCATTTTTAGTCAGATTTGTGACTCATTCTGGTTTTGAAATCATTGGATGATAGACTTGAAGGAAAGAAAAACCATTTTTTTTTTATCCGTGATATTATTCCTACCTGGATTTAAGTTTTATGCTTACGAAAATGAGGATCTGATTTCATTTTTTGAATGAAATAGTAGGTACAAATTTTATAGTGTTTTGCAAACAGTAGGTGCTTGATAAGCATACTATGAGCAGTTTACTGTTAAAACTTTTCTTCCTTTGGATTCTGTGAAGTATGCTAGTTAGGAGTGATTTTATTTGCTTCGTACAGAATCTGATGCTTTATATACCAACCCAGAAACTTTAAATAATTGAAATAATTTTACTGTATTTATAATACTATATTTTATAGTTGGTATTCATAAGATCTCTGAGGGACTGAAATTTATAAAGTATTTTTGAACTCTAAGAGATTTAATTTTAGTATCGAGTATATTTTATATTGTATTGTGTATAATATATTGATAGTTACTGATTTGTCACTTTATATTAGTAAATCTCGTTTATCTTAATTTTGGAAATACTCTGTAATTCTCAAATTACTGGGAAGTTTAATGATGCAGTGCCTTTTTTTAATATTTCAAGGCACATTTTAATTATATGATTTTTAAAAAAATCATTTTAAAATACCACATTGATTTCTAAAAAATTTATTATATTTTTCAATTATAAATTTTCTTTTCATTAAAAATTTTTTTGTTCTTTTCATAACCATGGAATCAAAATTGTACATATAATAGCTCTAGAAAGGAACTTTATCTGTTATGTGGTTTTCTAGTTTATGATTTCTAACAACTGATCTGGTAAATAGGAAAGAGTATTCAAAATTAGGGAGAGATGTTCTTGGCGGGCATGGATCACTGAGTAATGTCAATATTTTGATTTTTAGCTTAACCTTTCTGGACTACAAAGAGAAAGACGTTGAATGCTCTACCTTTCCTACTGAGAGTTTTAGCTTAGTAACTGGAAAAAAAAAAAAAACCCACCTGTGTTAACTTCATTTATATGACTTAAAAGTTTGTGGAGAAAAGTTGTATCTCATTACATTGAAAGGATAGTGAAAGATTAATTGTATAATAATCAGTTTTGCTTGTCTTGGAAAAACAAAATATATCTATCTAGATAGCAAAAATAATGGATATGACTTTCTAATTTAATTTAATGAATTCAGGTTTGCAAGGTGGGATGAGAAAATTACATGACAGATCATTTTTCAAGATAAATTTCCATGTTTTCTATGCTTGTCCAAGTAAAATTGTTTGTTGAGCGAGTGTTTAGGGAATACATCACCTTCTCTCTCTTAGTGTTTCTGCCTATATACTTTAGTTTGGGATGGAAGGGTTAATTTCAGAGTTCTAATAATCTGACCAGTTTTCAGTTTAGTTTGAGTCTTCTCTCAGTTAAGTGATATTTAAATAACTTTTTCCCTCTAGGCTACTTATAAATCTGTGTGTTTTCATTTGAGCTATCATCTGAATTTGAATTGGAGGTTTTTGAAGAGATTCTGAGAAGCTCCTTAAACGGGATGCTGTGGCTGTGGGATTGGTGCTGGAATTCAAGGTCCTTCCTGCCCTCCAGTCCTCACCCCTGTCTCTCAGGGACACATTCATTTTGAGCAGAACACTTTGGCTTTCACCTCTTTATTTATTTAAATTTCCCGATAAGTTCTTTGAAGAAACAATACTCTGGAGAAAAAACAGACCTATGTAAACTGTTTTCTATACAAACTGGTTGTTCGGACTCTGCTGCATTATGAAATCATATACCTGTGTTTTATTTTGGGAAATGTAATTGATAGACCTGGAAATAAATTGTTAACTGTGTCCAGGGTCACATGTACCTCAAAACCTTGGGATTTTCCAAACTAAGTGCCAACATGCACCAGTTGGAAGGCTGTCCCAGAGCTCAAATCCCCTTTGTTTCTCCGAAGAATACAAGTTGTCTCTCATGCCATGATGATCATTTATATAATCTTTTTTATCTTATGAATTGGTTAAGTTTAATGCAGGGTTCTGGCTTAGCATTTTTAAACATAATTAAAAATTGTAAATTAATTTGTTCTGCGGGGATTGTTTTTCTGTTTTGAGAATCCTGCAAATATTCTGACAATAAGTCTTTTGTGTCTCAAATGTTTTATACACACTGCAGGCCTTTTATTATTTTTTTTTTAATAAAATCTTCAACAGAATGACTAATAGAGCATGAACAGTGCTTATGACACTATAGTGCATTGTGTAAGTATTGAGAGCAAAATTTGCATTCCTAGAAAAGCTTGTTCACGATCAGAATATAGAAGGCATTCTTTAATGTTCTTGGGCAAACATGCTGTGTATGTGCTCAGGACATTACTTACAAGAAAATAACTTTTTAAAAAGAACCTTTTCTTTCTACGGAATATTGAAGAAAAATTGAACTGGCAGCAAGAGTGAAACAGTTTAAGGCAAGTGGTTTAGATCTTATTGTAATGACTATGGTCAGTAGAAATACAGCCTCTCCTAAATCCTCTAGAGGCATTTGTTTACTAGGATATATGAAAAGATGGATGACTTGAAGTTTCCAGGTTGTTTTCACTTGAAGTATATACTGCTGTTATGTTTATCTGCATCCTTAATTTTCAGAAATGCTTTTTCAATTTTTCAAGAAATATTTTTGTTGAATTATATTAGATTCTGTTCATTACTGTGAAGTACTTTCAGGTGTTGCTGTGATTGACAATAAAGTAATGATAATTCCATTAACAGTCTGGCAAATCAGGGTGCCAGAAAGGGTCAATACTTTTCTAACAGTTACACTGAAAAATACTGGTGGTGAAATTGGTTTTGTGATTGAAGTTTTGGGTCTGTCTTCTGATTGAATATATTAAAAAAATCACATAGGGTGTGTGTGTGTGTGTGTTTATATATATATATATAAAAAAAAATTTCTCCCCAGTATTTATGCTTTGTATTATGTGATTCATCAGTTAACTAAAACTTGTAAGTTTAAAAGTATGTATATTTAATTTTCCTAGTGCACATGAAGACATTTTACATTACAGAGCTGAATGAAAAGTACTTTTAGGGCCTAGTGCTTTGCTTAATTTTAATTTAATTGGTGGATGCCTTTTTAAAAATGGACTTCCTATTCTGTTCTTGTATTTCCACAATGCTATTTGTTGAACAGTTTCTACCAGTTCAGTATTTAACACTAAGTACTTTCTACAGATCTTGCTTTTTGATCCTTCTTTAAAGATTTTGATCCTTATTGCAAGATTTTGTAACGTATCATTATCATTTTATAAATAGAGAACCTCTATCCCCAGTATTTAGTACATCGATGATATCAGTAAATGTTTGTGGAATGGAGGGGAGGTTAAAAAAAAAAAAAAAAAAAAAAGGAGACTTAGGAAGTTCCTGCTCTGGAGAGGACAGGAGGGAAGATGGCTGAGGCCTTTAGTTGGAGGTAGAAGACCTCAGTCTCCATCCTTCCGAGGAAGCTAAGGTGGTGGTTTGAGGTGTGGCATATTTGGATGGGATAAGTGAACCCCTGCTATCTGGAGAAAGCTTTTTCTGCCTTTGCAGCATTTAAAGGGATTCTTATTATAAGTCCAGAGTTTGAGTCAAAATATACTTCTGTAGTAGGTACCAAACTTCATTTGTTTAGACATAATTTTAATTTGAAAGTTTCTTAGGAATATTTGTAACTAAAAACAAACTCTAAATGAAACAACAGCAAAAAAATAAACAAGTGACGAGAGCTTTGTCTCATTTATTGATTTTATTTTGAAAAGCATATAGAGAGTAATTTTACCCCCTACCAATAATTAGTTTGTATAACTTTGTTCACCTAAAT